AACTCGGTAGCCGGTTGCCGGCGGGCCAAGTGGCGGCGGGGCGGGACGGGGCGGGGCGCCGTGCTGTGGGGCCCTTGGGCACCCATTATTCGGTTCCACTCTCTTCTACTCGGTTCGCTCATGGGAACAATGAATCGGTTTTCAAGCATATGCTCGAGACAACGCGACATGCATGCCTACTCACTTACACCCCGTGACCTCCCTTGTTTTGCCGTCCCGATCGCAAAGGCGTCGGGGCGCGGCGTGGGGTGGGGTGGGGCGGTGACAACGCAGAACACACAGCCCGCGTCATTCAACAAAAACCGGTCCAGACCGGTTCCAATTGTATCCGGTCTAGGCCTTTCATGCCATTGGCTGGGACCGGTTACAACAACACGTGCAGACATACTCCGTGCTGCAAAAGACTTTTGTCGTCTGCGGAGCCCCCCTCCTCCTCTCCCCTCCACTCCGCACCGGGACACACCGGACACCGAGCAAGGGCAATCAGCTCACTCAAGTCGCCCGGGCGCGCGCATGGGCGAGGCTCGCGGCCGCGGAGCGGGGTGCTCCAGGACATCGTCAGGACGCCGTCAGGAGACCGTCAGGAGGACGCCATCAGGACGCCGTCCGGACGCCGTCCGGACGGCGGGCTGTATGGGGAGTCGTGCACTCTCGTGGTAGTCTTACCTCGGACGCGCTAGTGGCGACGGACGGCGCGGAGGTGGCGGCGCTGGCCGCGGAGCACACCGAGCTGCTCACGGTGGAGGAGACGTTGGCGCCGGACTGCTCGCGCGCCGGCGGTAGCGTGCGGACGCCCATCACGGCCTCGGCGGCGCCCAGCACCTCGGACAAGGTGCCCGTCAGCCGGGAGAGGGCAGGGGTGGCCGCGGAGGACCGTTGCCCACCAGAGTCCCTGCATTCAAGGGTGCAGGCAGGGCGGATGATGAGAAAATACGAGCCGAAGCGAATGGAACTCTTGCCATGTGCCTCCGTACTCACTCGTTGGGAGGGTGGCCCTGCCGGGGGTCGGCGTCGGCAGCAACAGCAGCACCAGCTGCGGTGGTCGCCGAGGGGGTGGCCTCCGCCGCCGCCTGCTGGCCCTGCTGGCTCTGCTGGAGGCTGGCCTGCACGTACTGCCGCACCTGGTGCTTGCTCCGCTCCAGGACGTGGTACTTGGTGGGGTTCTCCAGCACCGTCTGCACCTGAGCACGTGGACAGAGAAAAGGGGGAGAGGTCATTTCCGCAGTCGCAATCATTCCGCACAGATGTCACATAGAAGTCTATTTAGAGATCAAAACCTTTTTGCTGCAGCACCAAAAATGTAATATCTCTCCATTTCTTTTAAGGTAATAGCTACACACTCCTCCCACACGAACATGATTTTCCAACGACATGCTCCTCGATGGATCAATCTGGTTCTCCCCCGGGGATGCGGGGGCTGCGAGGGGCAGCCTGCCGGGCGGGGCGTGCGCGCGCATAAACGCCCCCCCGGCACAAGTGATGCACGGCGCCGGGCCCGGCCTGCACCTGCATACCGGGCGCCACCGGCGCCAGCACGCCGCCATAAGGCTCTAGGAGCTGGTCCGCGACGTCGGCACGACAAACTTTAACGGAGGCGTCGAAAATGGCTGCAAGATTTTGCTATATTGAATAGCGCGAAATGGCTGTTTCAATTATTTTATCGTGTCCTGGAAGAGACAAGACACAGCTGTGCTGAACCTTGGAGGAAGCAACAGAGACTGTTGCTCCCCCCCGATTGTTTGCATCCGAAGCAGCAGAATGAGAACAGCCTCCTCCAAACTGGACTGCGCTGCCCGCCGCGTTGCCGTGGCCTGGCACCCTCACACCTGCTGCGCCTCGCCTTCCAAATTCATATTGTCGCTCCTGAACGACGCGCGCCGCGCCGCTTTGGCAGGCGGCGATCTGTCTTAATTTAAATTTCTTGGCAGGTGAGTGACAGCTCGCGAGAGAGATCTCTATCGACGGGGAGAAGAGCAGCTCGCACCCTGTCCCAGCAGCCGCGGCGGGGGGTTTGGACGGGTGCCTCGCAGAGACGGGACGGGTACCCGTAGAGGGACACGGTGGACACGTGGTGCAAGAGTGTGTCTGCCTTTGTGTCGTACTCGAGGTCGGAGGCGACGAGGGCCCTAAAGGTGGCGAGACAGGGTGAGGCCTTGTACGGGAGCCCTCCACGCCCTCGACCGCACTCTTTGCTGAGGCCGACACACCCCACCACATCCAAACCCATACCTCACCTCACCTCGCCAACCCCACCTCACCCACAGAGGCCAACTCCCAGCCGCCCGAGCCCGATGGGCTGCCGACCTCGCCGGCGTCGCTATGGTGCGGGAGGGAGCAGTGCTTCTCACCTGGAAGACGGACTGCGGCACGTCCACGCCGATGTTGATGGGCGGGCGGGGCGGTTCGGCCGCCTGGCGCTCCTGCTGCTGCTGCTGCTGCTGCTGCAGCTGCATCCGCTGCTCCAGCCGCTCCTGCTGCATCTGCTGTTCCCGCATCAGCTGCTGCTTCATCTGGGTGCGCAGCGGCAACGACGAGTGCTTGAACGAGGGCGGCCTGCGGCAGAAGAGGCGTCGTCCAGAAAGTACGTCCGTTATTCTCACATGCATCACACGAGAGCGCCGCCCCCGAGACACCCCATAGGCCACCCCGCCGTACGCGCGCGCACACCCCAGAAAAGATGGCCCACACACAGCACGCGTGCACAGACGCAAAACTGATGGCCCGTAACAAACAACAACGAAGGAACGGACGGACGACCTGGACGAACCCACCCACGGACGCACGCAGGGCAGCCAGCCACCCGCACGGAACCAAACACAGGCACCGCCCTCCAGAGCAAAACACACGACACACGCCGCCGGGGGCGGTGACGTAGTGACTACTACTTATCGGTGGTATCAGCCGGCCGCACCGCACCGCCGCAAGCCACGCTTCCAAAAACTTGTACACTCAGCGAGTTGTGAACACCACCAAAACATTTGGCGCGCCGTGTCTGGCGCCGCCCCCGCGCTGCCCGTGTGGCTGTGCGGCACGCGACCTGCCTCAAGCGAATCAAGAACCGGAAGCTAAGAAGAAGAAAAAAACGCGAGCCACACGATCACCAGAAAAACGTAGATAGTAAGTTGCTTCATGACTCACACTCGCGAAAAGAAGAAATGGCACAAGTACTCGACATTTGTTAGGTGTGGTACCAGGACTAGGTATGGATGATTTCGTAACTAATGATGGTCGCGTGCATGCGTGCGATCGGGGGGTTTGCCTAATGGGCTATGACAATGCGGAACGTAGGCGCGAGTAGGCAACCCGCGCGAACGCGTGCGTGCGGTACAGTATGACCGCGGTGGCCACTCGGTCGGCCCGGTAATTGCACAGATTTTTATCAGGCTTTTCTCATTCTGCTCAGATTAGATTGACTTTCCGGTATCCGAGAGAGGAAAAACAAAGCTCTCTTTCACGGGGAATACCCTCCAGCCAGCAAGCAGATTTATAATTCCGCCAGCGGCTCGGTTTCAATTTTCCGTTTTACTTCGTTATACCTTACAGCCTAAACTTCGTTCAACGACAGTGGGCAGACATCACACGAGCTCACCTGCGCCATCTCCCGCTCTTTACGGGTCACAAAACTCACCCTCTGGGTGGCAGCCGACTCGCCCTGGGGGTGGTCTGCTGTGGGGGGTTGGGTGCGGGCGGCGCGGGCGGCGCCACCGGCGGCACCATGTCCACGATGCTGGGGTCCATGTCCAGGATCATCTTGAGGTCCTCATCGATGCCCACGTGCACGCGGATGGAGCGCGGGCTGTCGGCGCCCTGCAGGATGAGCTTCTCGATCATGTCGCCGAGGTCCTGCTGCAGGTCTTCCTGCCGCGGCTCCTGCTGCTGCTGCTGCTCCTGCTCCTGCTGCTGGAGCTGTTGCATCTGATGGAGCAGGAACAGCTGCTCTCCGTTGAGGTCATTTTTCGATAGAGCCGCTGCCGGGTCGGGCGGCGGCTGCGGAGGCAGCGGAGGCTGTACGTGCAGCTGCGGGTCCTGGGGGTAGAACTGCTGCGGCAGGGGCGGGTGGGGCGGGGCACCTCTCGTCATCATCTCATGACAGCCGCTTTAACGCCGTCCTGCGGTCCTCTAAAACAATCTGAACGAAGGTGGTGATAGAAAGAGAAACCATATGCAAACAATGCAGAGACGTGGGCGGGGCTTGCAAGGAAAATTTCTGAAATTGTTATTTTATGTACCGCTAATCACACTCTCACTCTTTGCTTACAGGTGTTTGTGTAAATTACCCCGCACCCCCTGAATAAACGACGAGTCTTTGTGTTTTTGTGGGTACGGTATGCATGGGTAGCGACCGCCGCTCTACTGTACACTCCGCGCGCCACGCGAGCGGGCTGCGCGAAGTGATTCACACCCGACCAATGACAAACCAGCGCCGAGTCCCTGCCGAAAAGGGAGGGGAACGCTGTTTAGATGCGCCCGTCCGATCGCCGACGTTTCGTCTCTGACCCAATGACAGAAAAGAAGAGCTCCTTCCTTCATCCTTCAATGCAAGTGCCCTGCTTGCCACATGTGTGTGTGTGTGTGTGTTGCAATTTTCTGGATCCTTCCAAAGCCTATTAGAGTGGAGTTGGACAAACGATCCAATAACTACCGACCCAGTTTAACGCGAGTAACGGGTTTCGGACGATTAC